TTCAGCAGTGAGCATAGCTGATCTCAGTAAGACTTTATGAGGTCCTTTTGGCAATCTGTACTGAATACAAGTACACAGGAGAGCATTACTCAAGTTTAAATTTCATATTCTACAGCTGAGCATTACAAACCAGTAACAACTGTGAGTGTCATGTTTGCATGACCTCCTTTTATTTAGTTGACATGTAGGTTGTTTCATTGTGACAGTCTTAAAGATAAATCTCTGTTAGCGCTGAGTGGATATAAACTGTAAAAAAAGATGGGCCAGTCATCCCAATCACATCATGCTGAAGCCTGGAGAGCATCATCCCAAATGTATTCAGAAATTATCTGTGGGATCTGAAGTTGTTGGGTTTTTTTGCAAGAGCTGCAGTGCCCAGTTTTTGTTTATCCTGTGCAAGTCAATAGTTCTTTTTTTCACAAAGGAGTTAATCTACTTTTGTTACTTGGCTTTGAGAGGAGTCTTTAGTCTTTAGCAAGGGAGTGTCTTCCGTTCTCAAGAGCCCATCTGCCAAAGGAAACACTGACAAGAACATCAAGTCTCCAGGGGAACCGCTTTTGCAGTCATAAGTGTTTAGAACAGACAAGATAGTGTAGGATAAGAGTTTGCAAGGTTTTACAGTAAGCTGTTTTCTAAATGAATGTTGACACAACAGAATAGAAAGTTTAAATACAGAATTTATTGCAATTTATCCTTTTCATGTCCTACATACAGGATGTATTAAAAGCATACAATGTAACTGCATAATTTATACAGCATATATGAAAACTGTATGCCAAAATACTTCCCAGAGTATCTGGAATAAATCACGAAAGAATACATATCATGGTACAAATGTAGTCATACAATTGACTTACATTTAATGCACTTTCTGGGACCTATCTATATGGCTTTTACTGATGTTAACAGAAATTTTACTAGTTTCTTATGTTATAGTACTAGTTAACCCAATGTCAAATTGACAAAATTTATACTGAAGTGTTGCAGTCTTTTCAGTCAGATTTGTTATCTATGCTAGTTTACATTGCTGATTTGTCTGGAAAGCTCTAACTTTTCATGTTACACAATTATATAAATACTGTTCCTCTCCTGTTCTTATAGTTACCAAATTTAGACCAGTAGTCCAATCAAATGATGGTCATCCAGATCACTGCATGTCAAAATGCTCATAGAATGTAGCATAGAATTCAATCCTTACTTGGTTTAGAAAAAATATCGTATTTCATCAAACATTCAAGACAGAATTTTGACAGAAAGCTTTTAAAGGAAAAATTCAGCACCCTGCTGCAGCCATGGTAAAGTCTGGAGCAGATTTGTATAATTTTGCAAGTCTCATAGTTAAAATAGCTTGCAGTATTTTCAGAGGAGATCCTTGGGAATATGCTAAAAGTAGAATGAACTTCCTTTTGAAGTTTGTGTCCAAACAACATTTTGATACTTCACGCTGCCCTCTCCTACCTTTCACTGAACACCTCACAGTCATCAGGTTCTGTTTTCTGAATTCTGACAAAAAACAGAGGGATAAGGTATGTTTATTTATTTAAATATGTCAGTTGATGTCTTTTATAATAGGCATTTCCTTTAATCTATAAATACCACCATCATCCTTAAGTTTGAAAGTCACTTTCACAAATCATAGTTCAGAATTAAATTCCTGAAATATAGAAGGAAGATGTGGGTGCAAAATTGCTAAAAGGCATTATGTAGTGAACTAAAGCTACAACCCTAATGGACTTTAATATGGCCAGTTGGGATTAGTTCTTTGTCTTTCGCTTCAGGTACAGACCAAATGTTTGCTGTTATCAGCCACTAGAGGGAGGTGTAATTACACAAGTACAAAGCTTATCCCTGAAATGTGAGTTGGGTTATTACCCATCATCTTTTGGGACCATCAACCTACACTTCTAATTTAAATGTGCTCTCTTTTAGAGTTTGACTTCATGATCTTAGTTGCTCATATCCATAAATCAGTTATTATTCAAATTATCTGTTACTTGGGAACTTTGTTCAGTAAACTCAATCTCCCAAATTCACTCAAGCATGAAAACTTCAATCAGAAATACCCTATGCACTGTTAAGACTACAGCTTCTCCATGTGCCAGCTGCTTCCATGTCTTCGGTGTGCAGGTACAAGACACGTCCTCTGCTCTGCATAATGAGAGTGCCCTTCGTTTGAGGACTTTTTATAGGGACCTTCTCTTCCAGCAGTTTCCCCCTCTAGAAGTTTTGCACCTCTGCTCTGGGAGCAGCTATTTAAGCAAATGTGTGGGTATCATGCCTCTTTACTACTGTGACAGCTGGAGGGTTTTCTTTGCCCTTTTGATACCTAGAAGATCTTTTGCACTCCCTCATCACATGCAAAAGAAAGTTTCTTTTTATAGCTATTAAAACTAACAATGTATTTTTAAATTATTCTTTTTAAAAGAAACATTGAGCAGCAGTTAATATTTGCAGCTTCTATACCAGTGCACATTAAAGGCTTCCTTCTAAGAGTAGATAATTTTATCTTTTTATTAATGGCTTTGATTGCAATTTTTTCTTGAATTTTGTCCATAATACTGTGTTTGACTTTTTAGAAAGAATGACCATCTTAAGTTCTCAGGAATTGAACAGGACATGAGGAAAAAATAGCTTATGTGCAAACAGGATGATCTGAGCACAAAAGCTGAGAAGTTTGAGCTTCCTATTTTATTTTGTATAGGCTTTTATTCTATCAAGCAGTTCATGTTCCTGCAAGATACCTACACCACATCAAAACAGCCTTCAAAACATCCTTCAACACAGGCTACTTTGTTTGTTCTGTAGCTGTGCTGTTAGACTATGAAGTAAAGTTCTCTAACGAATTCAGAAACCCATGTAATAATGTATGAATAAGATTTGGATTATAACATCAATATTATTATTTTAAATACAACTTTACTGAGTACACTTAATTTGAACAGACGGGACTGAATTTAAGCTCTTGCATTAGACTGGAGATAAAAACAATCACTTTGTGAAGCCCTGTGGCAAGGTGAGTACCTCCTGGGATTGACATTTAATGCAAGAACAATATTATTCCTACAAAACCTAAGTTGTTTGTTTTCTGTAGCAGTTACTGTAGTAAAAAAAATGCCCTTCATTCATGTTAACAGAACTGCAAGAAAATATTCATACTTCATTTTAGTTCACTAAGACTGGGAGATCAAAACAAGATGTAAAAAAATATCCTATATATATATATTTAAATAAGTTCAGAACTAGATTTGCTGGTACTTTGAAGTCAAGGATAAGATTTTAAGTGCTTTGGAAAAAAAGAAACCAGAATCCTAATTCAGGATTGCTATTGCTGTAGGAATTGCAGGGACTGCTGCAGGTTGCTGTAGGCAATATTCTGTTTAATGAAAATTCCTTCCTCTAATGAAAAAGTAAATTAAAAAAACCCCAAAGTGACAGGGATTTTTCTACACAATTACAATTGAATGTATCACCAACAGTCACTCTATCCCATGACTGAAGAAGTGCAAACCAGTGCCTCAGTCCAGTGAAGCAAAATCCATTATAATCTGCTCTATCGTTTACTGTTTTGAGCAACAAACACAACCTTCACCTGTGTGTGTTGAGGGAATCGTTTGAAACAGCCCAGTTGCATCTCTGCCTCCCAGCAAAAAAGTGCTGGTTATGAGCGAACTTCTTCCAGGTGAACAAAGCCCTCAACTATGCCAGGTCTCTATGACAAGCATGAACAGCCCTCACACTTCGTACGTGGACAAAGGGGGAGCCTTCAGACTAACTCTGCCAGCATTAATTTCAGATATTGCTTCTAGCAGTATTTAAAATAAAATATATTAAAGCTCTATTACACAAAGAGAACTACAACACAACTGAAGAAAAAAAAAATCCTGTACAGCTATACAACTCCTTCCTTACAGGCATTTGAAATGACACATTGCACTAGACAGCTTCTAATGAAGCAGTGTTGACTTCCATTTCAATCATCCCACTTCTTCCACATCCCCCTCACAGTTAATGTCAGAAGTAACTTCAGATAGGAAGTTACTAAAGAAGTTGCTTTCAGGATGAATTCAGCAAGACTCCACGCTGCTGTTCTTTTCTATGGCTTGATAAAAACTTATCTAATCAAGCTGCAAAGGCGCAAGGTATTTGCTTGTATTTAGAAAGCACGTTGACTTGAACGCTTAAGATGTACTGTTCTTTGTGCTAAATTCCAACACTCTCTTGAATGGAGTGTATGTCCTCACTGGCCTTGTGCTTTCAGGAGATCTTCTGTTCTCAGTACTTGTACTGTTAAGGAGACAAGAAAATGCTTACAGAGTTAATGTCAGAGTATCAGACAACCAGGCTAGAAATGCCACACCAATGAACTTGTGCCTTGTTATTGATATTGACAGGCTAAAATTAAACCATTTCTTGTATTCGATACGTTCCATATTTCTTTTCTGTAATGCCATAAAGAACACTTGATTAAAGAGGTGGCAGATACTGAGAAATTTACATGCAGGCATCTGCTAAAGCTCATACTGGAATGTCCAGCTACTAAGACTAAGGATCCTGCAACAATAAAGACAGCAATATTACATTTAAAACCACAATTAATTAGAAAAAGTAATTCCATAAAATCTATACTGCATGCAGGCTCGTTTATGCATAGAGATAAACCTCAAAGCTAGGAAAAATATCAGGTAAGTAGGGGCTATGGTTACATACAGAGAGGCCCCAGAGAGGACAACAGAGATAGCTTTCTGTTGGCACCCTGAGTGAAAACCACCAGTTTTGAGGTTTCAAAGCTCATGCCATTAAAATATGCTTTATGCTGAACACTGAAATGAGTGTATTTTGAAACTGGGAACGAAATTTTAGTTTGTATAGCAGCTCGCCGATTTCACATGCTAATTTACATTCCTCAATCTGAAGGATTTAATGATGAACAAGTTTATTTGTTGGTAGTAAAAGTCCTGTGCAATGGTCCTCTTTACCTTACTATGGTTTCTGTTTTGCCCTTCCCTGTGGCAGCTTCATGGGGGGAAGCTTCAAGTGCAAGCCCATAGTCTTGCCTCCATGGCTTAGTGCAACCTTGTGGTGTTCGAGGCAATGAAAGGGGAGGAAGAGGCAGCACAATACCGGGATCTTTACACAGCCAGGCTAGAGAGCCACTGGATACCACAGACCGGAGACAACTGTTCCAGTGCAGAAGCGGTGATGTTACTGTGCTGTTTACTTGGCAACCTTCCACCTAGGGCGAGGATATCTCCAGAAATTGCTGCAGCCCTAAACTGTTACTGATGGCATTACCTGTTCTTTGAAACGGTCCTGGACGCATCTCCCAGAACACCAAGAATGAAGTGTGCGTGAAGCCAGCATTAGCCAGCCTCGGGGTAGAGCTGCCCATTTCTTCTGCTGTGCTGCCAGCAGACACATTTCATCAATATTTCCCATATTTCACAAAGTCAGATCTCTTGACTTCTAGCTTTACTCTCCATTTAAATCCCATTACTGTAAACAAATACTCCGGAAGGGTTTGAAATATGCTTGAATATTGAATTTAAAAAAAAAAAAGAAAATACCCTACTCCATAAGTCACTGAAGTACACTACACCTAATAGGTGTACGCCTTTAAAATCAGAAAAGTTTTGCAAAACTCTATAACAATTTATTAACACAATGACTTACTAATACAGCACCAATAAGGGACATTATGAAGAAGTTTCCTATGACCAAGAAGAAGAAGGAAATACCTGTATGGAAGATCACATCCTACACCAGTATCTCTGGTTTCTATATTGGTCTTTGGTTGGTTTTCCATTAAGTAGTCCAGTTTATCTTGTAATTCTTTATTCTGGAAAAACAGTAATTTTCATCACAAGTTTATATTATTTAAATCAGGTTAATTAAACAAGGAAATAAAATTGCACATTGGCTTTTCCACGCAAGAAATAATGTAAAAGTATTTATTGAGAAAATAAAGGAACCCTTACTTCTCAGCGGAAAAAAAAATATTAAACCAACAGTTATTCAGAAGCTTCTGTTTTAAGTAATTATAATACTGTTATAAAATTGCATGTTAAGGAACTTAGCATAAATATTAAGACTTTGTATTACATACGTTCCTCATGTGAATGGCATCATAAGTTGTGGAAAACAGCAAATACATCTAGTAAATATGCATCCAGATAACATCAGGTGAAATCAGTTGACATTTTATTTGGTTTCACTAAGTAATCACAGTAATATAAACTAAAAATGTAATACCTTACCTCACACTCTAAGAAAGAGATTTTTTCTAAAAGCTGTATTATAAATAATTCCTTTTCTTTTACTTTCTTCCTTAGCATTTCAATCTAGGAAGAAAAATAAAGTCATTTAGTCTAATGGGGATGCGAAGAGCATGTAAAAGACCTAGAAACCACAGGAGGAAAAGAGATTTAATTTATATGTTCAGCAGTGATTGAATACCTACACATATTCACAAACTGCTTAATCCATGGATTAGCTATCATCTCATACAATTAGGATCATTTATATAAAGATGATACACATATACTAACATGGCTTTTAAGAATTTGGGGTTTTTTTTGTAAAGAGAATGGAAATTCAGACATCATGTAATGAAACAAACTAGGGAAAACTCCATCTTGGATTCAAAGGCCTTTGCTCTAGACAATTTTAACTACACCCAAAAATAATGTTGCACATTTGCTAGTTTCTTGAAGGTCTTATTTGTTCAGTTATTTCCTCGCACACCAGATCTCTTGAAAAAAGTGCATTTTCTTTTTATACTTAGGGAATGGGAACAAGTTATTTACAAATGTTAATGAAAATTAAAACAAAGCTAGCTGCACCAGAAGCATTGCATCTAACTGCTGTTCTATATCAGAAGACAATCTTCCTTATATTCTGGGTTTTCTGCTGGTCACAAAGCCATACAAGAACTTTTGCATTCAATCTTTGCCTGCTACCAGCACATGCAGGAATGGACAGAGAAACTGGGTGACCCAGATTTCATACTAGTCCATTGCTGCTGGGCCAAAGCTGTTCTGATTGTGTGGAAATGGCCTTCTAAAAACGTGGGTTTTTTTGAGGTCAGATGATATGAAAGTCAAACCTGCTATTTTTCCCCTACTAAGCCCACAGGAATGTCTCTCAACTGAGGTGCTGCAACACTAATAGCTAAACACCTCTCCCTGCTCCATGTCAGCATTCTTTAACTAAGCAGAGCCCAACCAACAATTTCTGCTTTACCAAACAGCGTATTTTCTAAGGCAATTGTCTCCACAATGCATTGAAGTAAATTACAGATATGAAAAGTTTCTGAACTTAAGCCTGAAAGCAGAATCAGAAGTAAACCAAACTAGTAAATGGATGGTCCACATCACAAATGGAACGCTGTGCACTGCTTTTAGTAAAGTCTCTATTACTGTATATATAAAATAGTGCATGCCTTAAAGCTATGAAAGGTATTCAAACTGCTGTTACAGCACTAGAAAAGTGTGCACCCTGCACATCACATTCCTCTACATTTCTGGGCAATGTGCCAACAGTTAAGAAAACCAGATCTATTCTTATAGCTTTTTTATCTCAAGAAAACTATAAAAACACCTATGCATAATAAAAAATTGGTATCTTCTGTAGCAGTTCACATGAAGTGAGGTAGCTTTATTATGTCAAGTTATTGATTGGCTGGGGACTTCACTGATACAATTTTAAGGAAAGAAGTAAAAAGCATTTGTTAGTAAAAAATTTAGTGGACGTTTACTAAAAGAAATTAATTTTATACAACAACCAAATTGAAATTGAGGGAAGCTCAGGATACATTAATTTATATTGGTTGTCATTATGTTACATTGATATGCAAGAAAGATGATTGATAAATACTTGAGCATATTTTCCATGCACTCTCACCCATCACTTTTTAACTCTATATCTTATAATCAGTTTTGTGAAAGAACACTAACAAACGCCTTCAAAACCACCAGGGTAAAACTTTTCACTATGTCTGGAAACAATAATTAGTAGAAATATTTGCATCATGAGAAAAGAGAATGCTAAAATATTCAAAGGTACAATAATCAAAACAAAAGTAGTACTATAACCCTCCCAAAAATGTACTGCTAGGTATTATAAAACATTTCAACCAAAATGTGCGGTACTATGAAAAAAATGAAGCAAACCAAATGCATAAATTAAACAACAAAAAAATTATAAAATCAACTCAGATTTAAGTTAGTCTCCATGATCTTCAGTTACCACATCTCATTGACACAAGGATCACTTATTATTTGGAAAAGCTAAAATGTGAACTCCATACAGTATTTTCAGCTGAACAATAACAGAAACTGGAGTGCTAACATCATCCATCTTTCTCAAGGTCAGGTATTTCTTTTTTTTTTTACTTCTATGTTAAAGTGCATGTAAAAATCATTCATCTCAACTAAAGCTACTATAATTTCAGTTTTCAAATCACAGGAACACAACAAATGCAGCATCTTTAGAAAACTACAGAACATACTTTGATCTTCATATTTAATGAACATTGTTTAATAGTATGACTAAATTAAGTCAGTTATATCTTCACTGGCTCAATAACTTCAGTCGTGCCAATAAATTCCACTTCAGAAAAAAAAAAATACCTTTTAGGACTTTCAAGTGGATCTTCGCTATTAATACTCTGTACTCCTACTATACATACAAGGAAAAAAGGTTAACACCAGTAATCAGTATGACACAAAGACGACTGAAGCTGAGCAGAGTCATGTGATCAGGAAGGGGTTTGTGCTGACAAATATTAATTCTTGTTATTGAAGGTATTACACTTCATCAACTGCCTGTTCTGGTTTTTGTATCAAACACAAAATACTTCTGTTTCCAAATAAGTGATTGAATTATCTATTATCCAAAAGCAAGACCAAACTCTTGTGTTTCATAGCCACTAAGACATACCCTTGAGTTATATTAACTCTATAATACAAAGGCTCTAAGAAGTAAACTGTGACATTATGTTTACCAATACTATGGACAAACAAATTAAAATTAAACTTACATTTTTTTTACTCTTCACATTGGCTAGAGACACAAACTCCCTAAGAATGTTCTTGAGTTATTTTAACTAGAATAGTCTGAAGTATTCTATAGAACATAGTACTATATTATAGAAGTAAAAAAACCAGAAGTGTACATAGAATATATACACCTCTATATTCTATAGAAGTACAGAATAGTCTGAAAAATTAGTATGGACTCCTTAAAATCCAACAGAGAATACAAAGAGGAAGACCTTGACATACAGCCTCATCCCCTTCCCAAACACAAACCTGATCACCAAAAAGCCATTCTGTAATTTTCATGTTTTGTTTTGTTTTGTTTTGTGTTTTGGTTTGGTTTGGTTTTTGTGAGAATCCTCTAAGGACAAGAAGACTGAACTATACACAGCAATACTGCCTGCCTCATTTTAACATGTTTACATAGTAAACCAGTCAGAACTCATTAAATCAATCTACTTTGTCCCTCAGAAGAGTTATGCCAGGATTTAAAAATACACCTTCTCTTTTACAGCATGGAGAAGAGACAATGTGGTCTGGCATCATCACATGGGCAGTCTTAGTCTGGCAGGAAAACAAACCAGCGTGATCAGACCATGCAGATTACAGCTATGATAACGCTGTGAGTTGGGTAATGTATAAACCTTTCTGCTGGATCTTTAGAACATCATGAAATCAAAGACACAGCCACACACCCCAAATATATTCCCTGAGAAAAAAATTCACCATTGGCTAAAATGAGAGGCAGTTTAAGCACCAAGACAAGTGCTGGAGTCCCTGCTGCCCAGATGGAGCAGAGCTACCCTTTGAGGCTGCTGCAAAAGGAAAGGAGGGCCAGACTGTAGCAGGACACTCATATTACTTCATGCAGGCACCCTACACTCCCAGACACATGGCCAACTAGTTTTCTCAGCAGATACTGCAGTCCAAGGGCTGAAACAACTTCTAAAGTTATGACACACCTTTAAACCTATCCAGAGGGCTGACATAGATGACACATCCAACCAGAACAGTTTACTACAAAAAAGTTTATTTACTGAATAAGGACTTACACCATTAGCACCAGCAGTGAGCAAACACATTTTGATGAACACTTGAGGGTATAGGTCACAGGAAACCAGGAAAAAGAGGAATAACTTTAGGGGATTATATTAATATATTACTATATTAAATAAACTGCAAACTTAATTCAATACATTAATATAACTCACATTGCATAAAGCAAAATCATGGTTTCCTTTGAGAGGGGGTTGTAACAAAAGCACTGGATCACAATGCTGATGTTGGGTAAAAGCACTTCAAAAATAAAATTCATGCCTTGCTACTCAATGTAATTTTGATTTTTCTATAAAAATGTTAGTTATGGCAACCCAAAATAAGATAATAACACTTACAGCACCATAAACTTGCATTGCACAAACACAAGTCTTGAGAGTGTCTGTTTCAAGAAGTTGCAAAAAGCAAGAAAACTAGCAGGTGACAGCAATAGATTTTGACTTTTAGTTGAATATAAGGTAAGGAGAAGGAGAGAAGCAGCAAGACAGGTCAAACACAATACTGAACTGAGGGCCCAAGTGATGGCCAGAGTAGAGTAGGGACAGAAATAGATCAGTGCAAGCCAAAGACTCAACTTCCAAGGGACTGACTCTTCGATCCAAGTCGCTTCTGGATGGACTCCAGGACAAAATTATCACCAAACTGTTCCTACATTTTCTTTGCTTAGTGCCCAAGGCCTAAAATCCACCTCATCGTTGCTGTATCTGCAGACTTCAGCATTTCAGCTCCCTGACAACTCAGCAACTTGTTCCTAAATCTTACTTTTGCACAGCTACCCTCTCAGATTTCCTCATCATTTTCTACAAGCACTATTCAGGTATCCTTCAGCCTCTCCTCTACCAGACTTCTCTAGAAGTGACCAGTTTCCCTAGCACTTACTTCTTGACCTTTTAGACTGACTACCTGTTCTTTTCCCTCCACATTTCTACCAGTGTTTCTACAACCTTCAAGTCCACATTAAACTGTCAAACAAAACTATCAACCTACTTAGCAATATCATTTTACATTAATGACCCACTCATTCCTTTCAAAACAGGTCTGCTAACAGTGAAGACATGAAATTAGCAAACCTGGGCCACACCATCACCCTTTTACCTCTCATCTCATTCTCATTCTTTCCTTTCTCCCTCACCCCACTGTATTCACTGCTCCTGCTTTCGCTTCTCCTGTTGGGAGACATCTGACTATTCCAAAACTGGGAAAGGAAAAGCTACAAGGCCCAAGCTACAGTTTGTAATTTATCTGGT